AAGAAGAAGATACCAAGTTGCTGGGCGATGACCGACTTTATGTAGCAACAACTTTCAACGTATAAAACTTAATTTGTCATTATTTTTTCCTTCAAATTTACAAAGTTGTATTGCTAATAGAATTCTGCAATCACTTGATATTTAGGCCACGGCATCTTCGTGAACTTCCCAATAATTTGTCATGTATAAGAGACCAATACTCCAGTATTTCCTCTTCTGTAATGGTTTCTTAATTGTTCCATCACGCTGCGAATTGGGCCAAACCCTGGGTTGACATTTAACATCTCTTGAGAGACAATTGACCAATCGATGGTTTGGAAGTCGAACGACCCGCATGCAAAACGCTGCGTCCAGGGCTCAAAGAGAGCAGAACTGTGTCTCCAGATAATTTCGTGAAGATTGGGAGTTTTCTTGCAAAGGCTGGTGGGGAACATGACTCGTAGAATCTATTAAAATGTTGTTTCATCTTAAATTTTCCGAGAAGGAAAACTGGAGGACTTTTAATCGCATACACTAAACCCAACCTTACATATATTTCTTTCATGAAATTTAAAAAAAATCTTCAAATTTATATACTGCAAACTTGAAAAAAAATACACTGATTTCTGACGTTCCATTTTGAAAACTAATTGGCAAATATTCTATTAAATGATGATAAAATTGGTATAAAAAAGGAAAAAGAGTGTGTGTGTTTGTGAGAGAGAGAGAGAGAGAGAGAGAGAGAGAGAGAGAGAGAGAGAGAGACAGACAGACAGAGAGACAGACAGAAAAAAAAGAATGAAACGACTATCTACTCTTTTTAAATGATACAGGGTTCTTTTGGAAAGCAGGACCACTTGATTTTGGATGGGACTAATACTTTCATAAAAGAGAGGAACTTTAACTTACATATAATGTTATACATCATGTAAACTGCAAGATTTTAGCAAACCGACTTTTATGAGACAACAAAATACACACCGATATTTAAAATTCCATTTTGAAAACTCAAAAGCATTAGTCTTTCATTTGTTAAGGCACGAATGGCAATATCTGTAGAAGGAGGCTGATATGTTTTTTTAAAGAAAAATTCCAATTTGTAGTGTTGTTCTGCATAGTATACATGCATGGTTTGATAAGGAGGAAATCATTTTGAAAATTGGGTGATTATAATAATGCCCAAAGAACAGGCGAGGTTGAAATAGCTTGATATTCAAGTTCGATACCAAATACCATTTACTGACATATCTGTTTTTAAAATAAATAAAAGTTTGTTTTCATTCGTAGAAATTCTGTCATTAGATTCTGTCATTAGATAAATAACCAAAACGCCCTTTCCAATTTTGTGCATTAATTAAAGCCCCACTGTACCACTTGTAGCTACGTGCTCCCTCTATATAGAAAACAATGCCTAATCGGTGACCATTGGTCCCCCATGATCCTCTTTTTCTTATGTTAATTGAGAGCTGAGTTGATGAGATAAAGCCACCTGTCAGTGACCACTCTGGTACAGACGCTAGTACAGACGGCCTTTAAACGAATCTAACTTTACAATACAAATGCAGAAAGTGAGCTGAATAAGTTTCAACAATGAATACAGATACAACGTCCTTTAACAACCAAACCATCTCACTTCTACCCGATATTTTTGTCATGTTCTTCATGATATCAGGTGGCAACCCTGGGATTTTTAAGACTCAATTTGACATCTCGAAGCGGGTCTTTATAGGTGGAGGGTCGTGTCTCATCTCTGTCTTGGGGTGATGATGGAGCGATTTTGGAAGACCTCGTATATGACGAAACATCTTAAAGATATGATCACAAGCATACAGGAACGATTTCACCGGGTTGTGCATGGGAGATAACATCGCTTTACCGAACGTGAGAGCGCGAAATTTAGACACTTTTTCCATGTTTACGTTTGAGGTATAGTATTGTCGCAAATAGTATTCTAAATGAGGCATTACAATTGTAAATGGAGCACAACACTGCGCAAATATGAGGTGACGGTTGCCCAAAATATTGGTCATTTCGAAATTCTCAAGAGGGTGCAGTCCTAGCCCCCCCCCCCCCACTTCTTCATGCATCCTTCGCTTATCTGATACAGTAGGAGCGGGATGACAACCAAACACAAAAATACGTAGACTGTATGCAAATTAGCGAGTCGATGATGTCACCCCCTTGCTATTCCTCGTATATATTATTTATGAAATTCAAGTTTGTTTGTTTTCTTGGACACTCTTGTATAAACAAAAAAAACTTACATGGTAAAGTTACAGTAATGGTGATTTGCACATATCACATGAGGATTCAAGTCATGTTTTACATTCCCAGAGCAGAAAAGAGACATTTTTACAAAACGGATTGAGAAAAGAGACGAAATGACATCATCCACTTGGTAATTCGTATACATATCACTGTTTCATGAAGTCATGCGACAATTTAAAATTCCATAACTTTCCCATTTTTCACCCGTTTTTGACGAAACTTCCACCGTTTTGTTTATTTAAATTGTATCTTCTTATTCAAATCCACTTGCAAATGGGCCTAGCTGACCTGCCCTTTAAAACAGTGTAAGACAAATGACTCCCCTCCCCCCACCATGACCGCGTCTCCTCAATGCCTGGACCCAGGATACGCCCCCGGTAGCCACGCCCTGGGCCCCGTCTTACAAAGAGTTGCGATTGATCCAAATCAATCGCAAGTTTGCAGCCTCCTATATCGTATGTACATAGTCGCGATTGATATCAACTCTTTGTATGACAGGGCCCTGGCCTCAATTATAACATGTCTGATATCGTACGTCAATTTTTATTCTAGCTAGGTAAAGATGAAGCTATTGTCTTCACAACGTCTCATCCCTTTCCCGAAACATTTGACTGCTTGATTTCAAATGTTTGCGCATTTCTAGATCATTTATTTCTCAAACATTTTCCACCCCACATGCATCGATTTTCCATATTTCCATATTGATTTTCTCTTTCTTTTTCGTATCTCCCCAAAAGAATCGAAAATTCTTGACTACGAGAATGGTCCTTGAGGATGCTCAAGAACTAGGTAATGTTTATATTGGTTTCTAAATGCATGTGCTCACTCTAACATGCTCGGCTTGCCTGGTAATGTAGGTCCCGTGTTGAAATCGCAGGGCTGGTTGGTTTTCTGTGTTTTAAAGCCCCGCTATGCTACTTATAGTTACTTGCGCCCTCTATATAGCAAATAATGCCTAATCGGTGACCATTGGTCACCTATCTTTCTGATGTTAATTGAGAGCGTATTTGATGAGGTAACCACCTGTCAGTGACCATGCAGGGAGGTCTAATCCCTCCTGGCCAAACTAGTGCGGTGGAGCTTAAACCGACTGTTAAGAAAGCATGTCTTTGCTTGCCCTTTTGTAAGAAAGCAACATGGGGACCAACGGATTAACGTCGTTTCCGACGTACTTTGTAATGGAGATTAAAGCCTTACAAAAGGTATGATTGGGAATCTTGTAGATGGTGTATTAAAGGGTTTATTTCTTAGTGTTTATTGAGATGAGGAAGATGGGCGAGTACGCCTAGTCCATAGAAGAAGGGGCAGAATGTTTCTAGATTGTACAGATACGCAAGAAAAGAAACAAGGGAAGGAGAGAGAGGGAGGGGGAAAAAGGGAAAAAAAAACATTATGTATGATATGCCTCGAAAAGCGGGGGGGGGGGCACATTTTTTGCTAACGAAGGGTAAGTCACTTTGAGTGGGGGAGGGGGGGGCACGGATTTGTTTGTGGTGCCCCCAATCCGCCAGTACCCCTATTTGGATGAGTAATGTATTCCAGGGGAAATGCCCCCTCCCCCAATTTTTATAAAACTGGAACTGCCTCGAGATGCATATATACGTTTACAGTAACTCTGTTCATATACTTAATCTTAAACAAGTGAAATCAATAACGTGTGAACTTTTTCATTTTTTTCATGTAAGTGCGAGTATACAGAAGAGTACATGTATTTTAGAAAATTATTTATATTTGAGATATGACAAGCAACAGCTTAAGGTTCTGACCCACTTTAATGTTTGTGTAAAAAAAAAAACATTTCTATAAACAGTGCAGTGACCATTAGCAAAACTTTGCCAATTGCTTATGATGATCTTTAAAAATCTCACAGTACATACCAATTTTCATCTACTTCATAATCACCCTTTCCCAATCGCTTTCAAACACTTTCTTTCACAATGCAATTGCGTGACCAGAACACTCACGTTCATCTTTAATCCTCTGTTACATACTAACTCACTTAACTGTTCTATCTCTCCATTTCATCAATGTCTATTCTATTCAATTTCTCCCTCTTCTCACTTGCTCTTACACGTTTTCACATCACACCTTGCAAACAACATGGGTCAAATCATTCTTAAAGGCAGGGTATTCTACTGACACTACTTCAGATTTTGTATACTGCCATCTGCTGCTCACAATGTCCCAGTGTGTTGACAGCCATGTCCCACAATGCATCACCAACTGATGACATGCGTGTGATGATGCTTGGGGGGGGGGGGGGGACAGGAACTGGAAATTGCTTTATGTACACCTTCACCAAAAGAGGGCGCAATTGAAAATACATAACAGCAATGGGTAGCGATGTCAGTAAAATATCCTGCCTTCAAAATACTCATTCAATGCTCACACAGGTTTAAAGCTTATCAGTACTAGTTTATAGGAGGGATTAGACTGCCCTGCAAGGTCACTGGACAGGTGGCTATCTCATCAACTCAGCTCTCAATTAAGAAAAAGAGGATCATGGGGGACCAATGGTCACCGATTGGCATTGTTTAATATAGAGAGGGCGCAAGTAGCTACAAGTAGTGCAATGGGCCTTTAAACAAAATCAAAATTCATCTCAGTGAAGCTTATTTTCATCAAATGATACTATTAATACCGGTAGATGGAATGTCTTCCTCTACTACAGTGCACCATCTTATTATACAATTCTCCTTCTTTACACCTGATTTCTAATTTATATACGCAATAAAAAATCAAGATGCAATTAATGTCATGATATAATTTCTTTTATTCAGCAACATTTCAACTTCCTGTTGATGTTGATATATTAATATACACACACTCTGTCAAAAACAATCTTTTTATTCACGTAGAAGGTGTTTTGTGCAAAAACTTGTTCATGTATCTTACTCTTCTTGAGTGATTGTCATTTTGACTGGGGGAATTTTTTTTCTTCTTCTCTTTTGACATACTTTGTTACATTTGCACAAGTTTACGGACAAAACCAAATATAAACAAAGCTACCGCGATGGAGGGAAGCAAAATGGTAATTCAACGTTTTCAGCCTGAATACAAAGAACATGATCTTAAACCAAAGGCTGATGGGCTGTACTTTGTATACGGAAATAGTTGAGAGTGTAAAGAATGTACTTAATGATTTTAAATGATTTGTACAGGTAGCTAGAGCACACTGAATTGTCTACACAAGCTACTGTAGACCAAGAAACGTTCATATAAATCAAGCTGTCACAAATTCTTCAAGCAGCCCAGATTTGCAAAAGCTTCATGCTACGCTATGACAAGAATGAATCACAAAATACTTTTGGTAATTCACTAATGTTTCTTGCAAATCAATTAATTTAAGGAAAAATGTAAGTTTCATGTTACAAAAGTTTCTGTTTGTACAGTAAACCATTCTTTACAGACTGAACAGTCCCATATCCTTCACTTTCAATATCAGTTTACCCCTTACCTAAGGACGTGATTTAGTCCCAGATGAACAGTTTTAATTACTACTTTTTTGCATCTTTCGTTGACACAATACAACCTCAAAATGGTCTCACTGTTATAGTCAGACCACAGGGTAGAGAACCAGTCTCTTATAATTGCCAGAAAAGTAGCATCCGTGCTGCAATTCAATTTTCATTTTTCGTGTTTTTAGGTGTGTCAATTGACATACCGCAAGCAATGCAACCCTGTTAGAAAAAGAACTCAAGAGTTTTCCATCCAATAAAGTAGGAAGTAAGAAGCACATATTCATAATGGCTCTGGTGTAATACAACAATAGCAACAAAAATAAAAACATAAATGTATATAAAGAGCAAGTCCAAATGTGAGTTCCCACTACTGTATAGCCTTCTATCCCCCCAGCCCTTTGGAGAGGACTTAAAGCTGTCTGTCCCATGGTTGCTTAGGCCTACTGACAAGCACACACATGCTCTCTTAGCAGTCAGGTAAAACCAACATACAATTGAAACAAACATACACATTAAAAACAATCTGATAAGCACATCCTCATGGCAATAAAAAAAAAAAAAATTATAAGTACACAAGTTACAGACTTTTCCATCTTCTTTTTTCCCCCTCTCTTTTCTTTGACATCGAAGCAAAACAAGATGAATAGTTTGTAACTGGATTACACCAAGCACCAACACATAAAGCTATTTCATGTACATACAAATACACTAGCTGAATAAATGCATTCCTGCATATGTACATGTACATAAAACTCTGAAAACCGACACAACTATATACTTATATTTGCAACATACATGTAACTCAATGAAGGGACAAAAGGTGAATTGTAATAACTGAAGCTCAACATCCCAATGTTTTCAATTTCTATCCTTGAACCTCTCATTCTAGACAACTTTTTCATTTACCGGTACACCACCTTATTGAATAAATAGGCCATGTTTAACTATTTCCTTTGATGAAACACTTGTTTTCTTTTTGGTTTAAATTCTTTTTCAGATTTAATGTTGTATGCCATGATGTAATGAAAATACATATACTTTTCTCCACATGAAATAAAGTACATAACTGAATTAAAAAACTCATAAAATTTTCACCAATGCAACATGCCAAGTAAATACACAAACTTATCACCTTCTTGCATATATATACCTTTGGCATTATATAGAATTGTTATTGAATAAAAAGATTTTATCTCTCTCATCGCACAAAGAAAATGTGCATCTATGACCCACATACTATAGACAAGTTTGGAGCATTCAATTAGTGTGTAGGCAATGCAGACATATTGTCTACCTTCCCCATATCAAATGCTACATAGCAAGTCATCAGTTCCGATTATAATTAGTGAAAGATGTCATCCCTCCACCACAAATCACAAAATCCTCCCTAGACCACAAATGGAAGAATCTGTTATTACACATAAATGGGTGCAGCTTGGACCATTCCATTAAGAGTCGTGGTAGGAGAAGGCATCAGCCCCTCGGACCCTCATGGGGGCGGTGTTGGCGTAGATGTTGGTGAAGGTCTCAGAGACTGGTAGCTCGGGGTCAGCCTTGGCCTTAGTCATGGCTTCGTCAACGGCTGACCGGACAGACGCATCGATGGCCTGGTCAAGTGGAAATTTGGTAAAAGAGAAATGCTAGATGTTTAAGGTCATGTCTTCAGAAGGGGTCAGGAAGAGGGGTTCAGAGGTCGGGCACTTCAGGTTCATTGAAAACACACTTAGCCATGTAACGATTGTGTATTAGTGCATCGACTCTGATTTGAACCCAGGACTTTCTGGTAATTAGACGGCTGCTCTATCTAATGACACATTCAAGTTCCTCAAGCATTTCCCTCTTAAAGGCATCGTTTAACAATGTTAAATCCGAGATGCATGGCCCTACGTGTTTACAGTGTCTGTGATATGGTGTCATATTGAGGGCCTTAAAAAATTGTGTTTCAAAATGATCAAGAAGTGCCTCAAAAAATTAAAAAATCTTTGAGTGACTGGTTTTACCATACTCATTTTTCCCCAATAGACTGTAGTGTTATAAAAACAAATTTTTAAATTTCGATTTCCAATCATAAATATCTTGATAATCAGACATGCGATTGGCTTGTAAAAGTCATGGGATACCAGGGTCCTGTCTTACAAAGACTTACGATTGATCCAAATCAATCGCAAGTCCTCTAATCAATCGCAAGTTTGTAGTCTCCTATCTCTTATGTACATAGTTGCGATATAAGTTACGATGGATATCAACTCTGACCGACCTAAAGATTTATAATTATCATTGCAGCATGAGCTAAATCAAGGATTACAAAGATACCCGATCCCTTTAAGATTTGTTGACATGATGAAGTAAACCATTAAACTCTTACAAACACCACAGCAAAATAAGAAAACAATATGAGTTTATCCTACGCTTTGAATATATTGTAATCACAAAGATACTTGGAAATAATTTCCCTTGGGTGTATTCAGCTACTCCCTCTCATCCCCTACTTGCTATTCATCAACATGTAAAATGGTACTGGTTATGCTGTGGTGGGTTTTCTAAGGTAAATTACTGCATCAATTATATTACTTCTCATTTCTATAATATATCCCAAGTTGGCCACCCAATATTCAAATGTGCATCTTCTGTTTTATCTCCATATATCAAATTGAAATCCAACTACCACGTACATCTGTGAATCTTGATTTACACCCCTATTTCTTTTTTCTTTCTTTTTTCTCTCTCTCTCTCTCTCTCTCTCTCTCTTTCCCCTTTTACCAATATTTTTTCCTCTATATTTGTATTATTATGTATCCATTGAGGGTAGTCATGTAATCAAGCTTTGCTTACTTTGTCAAACCTCCTATTTGATGTTTTCAATAAGTTACAGCCAGTCTTACTTTATTCTACACATATTCTTTTGTCATGACTGTGTAATTTGCAGTGTTTTGTTCGTTACATATTTGTAAAACTGCAAAAGAAAAAGAAAATCAAACAGAAATAAATTAATCAAATCAAATCAAATCACTTACCTTGAGTTCAGCCTCTGCCGCTAATTCGTTGCTTAGGATGGTGTCTTTGAGCTTGGTGATAGGATCCTGGCTCTGTCGAATCTCCTGGACCTCTTCCCTAGACCTGTAGCTGGTTCCTGGATCACTCATACTGTGGCCGTGGTATCTGTACGTCTCCACCTCCATGACTAGAGGACCCTGTCAGATGAAAGCAAAAAGAGATCATTTAAAGGGAGTGTAGCCTGGCAAATACTGGTTAACGCCATCTACGTCTTCTTTTGGACAACAGCACGTAAAGGAATGGACTTGATTAATGGTAGTCAACAACTTAATCTCTACATGGTCAGCGATCGCGAAACAGACCGAAGTTCTCCTCATGCAGTCAGGCCATGGGAAAGACCCATAGTCCAGGGCTGTCAACTTTGGGGAGCTGCTTGAAGGGAGTTTTTTTTTTCAGACGAATATTTCGCAATGACTCAGCCAGCCGCTGAATAAATTTTGCAACGACTCAGCCGGCCGCTGAATAAGCAGGGGGTGGGGGGGGGGGGGGGGGGGGGGGGGGGGGGGGGGGGGGTAAGAGCACAATTTGTTTTTTGGCGGGAGGTTTTTTCATAAACCGGGAGATTCTACATCGTTGGCGAGAGAGCGGGAGGAAGGCATGGTGGCATGAGTCTCCCGCTACGAGCTTTTGGGGCGGCGGGAGAATGAGCGTGGTGGCGTGAGACACCCTCCAAATGCGGGAGGGTTGACAGCCCTGCCATAGTCTTGTCTTGCTACACTCCTGGATCAATCATTCTTTGAAAACCGTATTTGAATGTCACTGTCTCCAGTACTAGAGGAAAATACAAAGAGCTGAGAATTTCAATTCAAGAAAAAATGTGAAGAGTCCAATATAGAACTGAGTGTGATTTTTACCCTCAAGTTCTCAGTAGTGAGCCCTCTTATGGCATAAACATTATAGGGAATGCTAAAAAGAAGTTCCTTTTCATTTTGTGAATACACAACTACATGTACATGTATTTACATATTGTTCTAGCATTGGTAGTTAAAGTAGCAATTCAGTTCATATCTCACATATGAAATCTTCCTGAACCTGGGGCAAGAACATGAACACCTGACAATCTGTCCATGAAAAGAAGAGGGTCTTTGTACAACCCTACGTAAAAGAAGATCATCTCACCTTTCCTGATGTGCAGTAGTCCTTGGCATAGCGAGTAGCTTCCCTCACAGCAACAACATCCATACCATCAACCTGAAGACAAACCAAGGTTTACATTTAAAGCCTGTCTGTACTAGTTTGGTCAGGGGGATAAGACCACCCTGCAAGGTCACTGACAGGTTGTTATCTCATCAAATCAGCTCTCAATTAACATAAGAAAAAGGGGATCATGGGGGACCAACAGGCACCGATTAGGAATTGTTTGCTATAAAGAGGGCGCAAGTAGCTATAAGTTGTGCAGTGGGGCTTTAAGTCAAAACAAAATTCTGCTTACCGTAGGCGCCTTAGCAAAATTTAGTGGCACAAAAATATGCTTCAAGGTTGCATAACAAATAATTGTTGAAAATCATTATTTCATCACACAGAGGTAGAACCACATCGTTAAGAAAAGGAGCTCGTAAATGCATTTTCTCTCTCGATTAGGTTTTAGGTTAGTTCAACTTTCACTCAAACATGCTCATTTTGAAAAGAACTACCATCATTAGGGCAAGATATTGAATATATATCACTTGTCACCCGAGCATATGACGTTCAATCAAATTTCTTGCATACCCAAATGCCTGGTATGTAATCTCCCCTGGTGTAGTAATCTGTGGACGCAGCGGACCTTTCAACGGCCGTTCCCATGCCGTACTTGTTGTTCTCACATACAAAGATACAGGGTAGATCCCACAGCTTGGCAATGTTATAGGCCTCAAAGACCTGCCCCTGATTGGCCGCTCCGTCACCGTAGAGGGAGATGCACACATTCTTCTTGTCCGTGTATTTGAGTGCTAAGGCAATGCCTGCACCGAGCGGAACCTACAAGTACAGAATACAATGGGCTAGCATAATTACCATCATTTATACTAAAAGAAATAGCTACATTTATATTGCGCATGTCATCCACAGTCCTGTGATGTTTCCACTACACTTCATGAATAAGAGAGAAAACATGCACTTTTGAAAAGAATTACTGCAAGGATATCTCAATGACAAAGTGCTGTATAAAGGAATGACCTCATAGTCTACAGAAGAGATAGAAAATCAAGTTTAACTTTGCTTTTACACCAAGAAAAGTTTCATTTTATGCAATAAGTGGACAAGTTTTTGTGGATCCTGTTGGATGTTGAAACCCTCAACTTTACAAATACCCTCAGTCACACTGCAAATCCGATTCCTAATTGGATTCTTAGGTAGTGCTGGTGGTTGTAGCAGAAGTGGTTGTAGCAGAAGTGGTAGTAGTAGTGGTACATTTTGGGGGGTTCAGTCTGTCATCAGTTTGATCTCTTGCTCATAGGTGTGAATTGGATATGAATGTTTCTTACTTACCTGTGCCCCTACGATGCCGTTTCCACCGTAGAAGTTCTTACAGTACATATGCATGGAGCCTCCTTTACCTTTAGCACACCCTGTTCTCCTTCCTAGTAAAAATAAACCATGGAAAATTTTGCATGTGAGAAACTCAAGAATGAGAGGAATGGTTTCATCAAAGTTAGAACTGGAAATTCTATTTGAGAAAAGTAGTCAAAGTCGAGTATTGACGGATCACGGGTATATAAAGTAGGATTTTTTTTTACATCATGTGACATTCCATCATGTTGGCACACTCAGTAGCATATTGATGTGATTATTCCTGTACTTATTTGGGATAATCTGAGACATGAACGAAACGGCATCCAAATAGTCATTGGACAATATTCGTTATATCAAATAAAAATTGTGTCTGATTGGTCAAATCTATTATCTATGGCCAAATCAAGGAGTCATTGGTTGACGACTCTTATTACAAATGCTTAATTCTTCACAGGGTTGGATCAACCAATGGCACATACAGGGAATCCCCAATTTGACTCTTGAAACATATACCGTACTACTTACAGATGTATGATATTATACTATAATCCGAACAGGGTGGCAGTCAAAGGTTCTGATCAATGGCAAATAAAGATTTAACTCATTGAGTACTAAGCCTGTGGTGAGATATCTTGGGCTGGAGTATGTATGAACATGTGTGTGGTATTCAGAGTTTCAAACAGCCCAGTAACACTTCATGGAAGAACAAGCAACTGGTAGATTTGAGAGACCATACCTGTAAGCTCTGCTAGCACTCCGTGTAAGGTCACACCCCTGAGATAAGCCCAGCCATGAGCCCTGTATGCTGTGATGACTGCATCATCTGGAGTCAATACTGAAGAGATCCCTACAGCACATGCTTCCTATAGAAAGAAAAAATCATGAAACATGTGAGCAGTCAAAAGTGCTGTATTCTGTATGCAGCTAACTTGTCAATACTAGTGAGAAAGTATGTTACTACTGTACTTTGTATTACTCTATCATATACATGTACTGTCAAATTTGGGTAAAAGCAGAGTTACTCAAGCTAAGCCAGGCAACTGTAAAACAATACATTTATACATTTTATAAGAAATTTCAAATTTGAAAAACTATGCAACATGTCATTGTATTATCTAAACATATTCTGAATATATAGCCTGGCAACTAGGTTCTTTTTACATACAGGGATAAATATTGTTTGGTGATAGGTACCCTTTTATACGTTCATTCAGAGACAGAAGCGTAAAGCTCTGTGTTAAAGCTAATTTTGAGCTCTGGTCTGGGCATCGTATGTCGAGAGAACATGGCTATAATTCATTCTGGATTGTTTATCCTGCATTAGATTGATTGTTTGAACCAGTAAAATAAAAAGATCTTCCTAAAAACTTGCTGGAAATCATCTTCATTAAATTAAACTTCAACATTATGTCAGGCCTGCTTACCTTGATTTCCTTATCTTTCTATGCTTATTACTCAGTCCCTATACATTTCCTACCAAAATCGTTTGGCATATACATGTACATGTATGTCATATATTTGTAATCTTGAACATTCAGTGTAAGTTTTGTTGGATTCTGTGAAAAATTTGTTTCTATCATTACAAGAACTCACGCTTATCTTTAAGGTATATGAGTTAACACCCTTCTGGCTCCAAATAGACAAGATTCAAGATATTATATTTAACCATAACCATAAAAACATACATGTACACAAAATGATACAATATACAGTACGGATTAAGGAAGGAATGGCCAGGAAAGAGGGAGAGAGAGAGAGCAAAAACGAGAAAAATCAATATCAAGTAGATACAGAAACGAATTAATCTATTAATTAATAACAATTTCATCTACTCAGCTTTTTACTTCAAATTTTAATGGAAAATGAATAAATTGGATTGAATTGAATTACCTGTCCTGAATACAAGTGGCAGAATCCTCTGACCTCCTTGGACTTGTAGAGGGTTGCTGCGGCCGTCTCCATCCTCCTGATGGTCTGCATCTTGTGGTAGTAGTCCAGGGCTTCATCCTTGGTCAGCATGCTCGTTTTCTTGGGACCTTCCTCAAGCTTGTGGAGCTTGAACGGCTGCAACAGTGCAAAATTTGGAGGAAGAGTCATTGGTACGAATACTCTAGCCACATGTCTAACTCCAAACCAGTGTACAAAATGTTTTCTGTTTGCACGAGCTCCATTAATAATAGTAATAATAATAATAGGCATTTCTATAGCGCTGTCTATGTAGGAATTCTATTCAGAGGCGCATTGATTATTACCCCCGCTTAAGCCTGGCTGCCATTACAGCGCTCCAGGATTTTAAGGAATTAATTCCTGCCACGTACCCATTTACCTCACCTGGCTTGAGTGCGGCAAATGAAGATTAATGCCTTGCCATAGGACATTAGTGCCGTATGGGGGATCTAACAATGACCTTTGAATTTCAAGTCAAGAGTTTAAACCACTCGACCACGACACTTCTACTTTAGTCACACGTCCAAACCAGTACACAATTTTTGTCTGTGAGCGGGAGCTCCATTAGGATACTCTGTGATTTTTTTCTTAGTGATATTCAGGCATTTTATTGGATTTACCAAAGTTCCCTTTTTTCCGTTTTACCAGAGCTTTCCAGAGCTGAATCACTCACTGTTCCTGTGTATTTTTTCCTCTGATCCATACTGGAATTAAACCAACTAATAAATGTCAAAATTATGACTATTTGCGAATGCGATAACATAATGCTTCATCACTCTTTAGTCAGGCATTTTTCTTCTCTGTGTGAAGTGCCATTTGCCCTAATTTGGGAGAGAGAGGGAGGGGAGAGAGGGAGGGGGGAGAGGGAGGGGAGAGAGGGAGGGGAGAGAGGGAGGGGAGAGAGGGAGGGGAGAGAGGGAGGGGAGAGAGGGAGGGGAGAGAGGGAGGGGAGAGAGGGAGGGGAGAGAGGGAGGGGAGGGGAGTGGAGAGAGGGAGGGGAGAGGGGGAGAGAGGGAGGGGGAGGGGAGGGGGAGAGGGGGGTGTTGTTATAAATTAAAACATTGTTTCTAGAAAACAGGCTCCATAATCATTCATTTAAAAAGACCCAATGAAATACGTTCATGTAAATTCAATTGATAGTTTTGAAATGTAAACAGAAGCCTAATAGTTAAGACAATACAAAACTTAAACCAGATCCTTTTTTAAAAACAGAGGAGAAAGTGTGGAGCAGAGTGTGAAAGGAAAGTGCTATTAGTTTTGAACTTACATTTGTAGTTAACTGTACATCGGTGTTCACCTGTCTGCTTGCAACTGCAACAGTTCTCTATAAAAGCAACATGGAGAAAAAAATTGTGCATCGTTAGAAGGTTAAAAAATATATTCTCTTTCCTGGGCTACTCGAAGTGGTTATTTCCTTCAAACTAGCTCTGTTTGGTGTCCTGGCCAATAGTAAGTAGATCTAGGACTAGGCCTAGGCCTAACCCTGATTTTGATATTTTTGGAGCTGTGATGACAAATCCACCAAGATAACCTTGTTGTAGACCTAGATCTACCTTGTGTTCGTCTCTTCCGAAAGGTCCGCTAGGAACTATGACTGGACTGGAAGTATAACTTGGCGTGACGAGAGTATAAATTTGTGTAATTCAGGGATTATGCTATTTCGTTAAATTTTTGGATTGCTGGTAACACACAAACACACAATACAAAAACAATTCATAGACTCTTGAATACTTCTCTCAAATTTTTCAGGAAACAAAATAGAAACAAGAACAGTCTTGACAGAATGACAGTCAAATTACTTCATTTTAACTTAGAAGTTAGACTTAAAGGGATCCGGTAACTTTGTCTCAGATTCTGAAATAAAATTCTGGATTTAGCTCATGATGCAATGATAATTATAAACCTTCAGGTCAGTCAGGAACCCCATGACTTTTACAAGCCGATCGCCTGTCCGATTATCAAGATATTTATGATTGGAATTACAAATTTTGAAAACCGTTCGCCTGACGGTTTTCATAACACTACAGTCTATTGGGGAAAACGAGTATGGTATAACCGGTCACTCAAAGATTTTTACTGTTTTGAGGCACTTCTTGATCATTTTGAAGCGCGATTTTTTTAGGGCTTCAACGTTACACCATATCACAGACACTGATAACATGTAGGACCGTGTATCTCAGATTTAACATTGTTAAACGATCCCTTTAAGAACTAGCTAGGCACACCCAACATAGCAGTATTTTACATGAAATACGAGTAGTGACAAAGCTGGATCCCCTGCCCTGCAGAAGCAAAAAGATGGAGCTCAACGACCAGACGACAGTCGAACAAGTCCCGCGGCCATGTTCATGTCATGACTCTGCACCTGTCATGCCCCGTGATCGTCCCGTGAAAGACCGGTAGGGTTCCGGTAATAATTGCTCTAGCCGAGCTCGAGTCCGTATTTTTATATTCTCTGGGCGTTGATTGACGCATTTAATTTCCAACTTACCGGCAAATTCTGCCTTGAAGCCGTGCCCAATCTCTTAGCCAAATTAGATAGCATCTTGAACAAGCTATTCAGCCCCAGTGTGAAGTCAAACTAATGGCATAAATACGTCGAAATCAGTGGGTTCTTGAGTACTTCGAGAACAGTGCATCAAAAGCTAAAGGTCGAAGGCCATTTCAGGATTGCGCGATTTCTAGAGGTACAGGTGCGGGCTATAGAGCAGAAATCCACCAAAAATGCGACACAAATAAGCCCACACCTCGCCTGTCACTGCTCTTCTAACGTGCTAGCTCGGTCGGCTAATTTTACATTTCCAAGCCCAAATCTCCGATATAATACGCAACCAGTTACCTACAAAAAGTGACTTGATCGACCCAGATATAGAGGGGAAGGGTCAACCCTCCACGCCAATACAAAGTTTTGGGATGGGGTCATGAATTTGGTTCAAATGAACATATTGGAAGCATATGCTATCCTACAATATTCAGGAGTCGTTGTTGCGGTTGAAATGGAGTCTAAAGTTATAAGATTGTAAATAATAAACTCTTTATCTTATATAGCTCCCTCTCAAGGTCAAGATATTAATTAAGCTTTAAAACAATGTTTCTTGAATAAAATCGACCAATTAGCTATTCCCGTTCGGAAATTATATGTCACAACTACATATTCTGAGATTTTCATGGTCACAGCTACCATTGTACGGCCGTAGGCGCTTTTTGAAATTTATCAAAATTTACCGGGAGCACCGGTACATTTTTAAATTCAATTTTCTCTTGAACTTGGGAGAAGTGTTTTAGGGGCTAATTTTTCTTGTGCCTATAATTATCTACAGGAGTATCCAAATATATCAAAATTGTAAAGATTCACTTTCCACCCAATTTTCAAATTTTCTAAACTTTGTATTACCTACTTTTAACAGTTTATATTTATAATAAATATATAAATATACGATGTGGCATAGCCATGTTGGTTTCGCCGTATAGGGTGAAAAAGAAAGAAAGAGAGAACACGCAGGGCTTTATTCTTACACCTAGGATTCCATGGGTCAAGTCTATTTGTTTCAACTTCAAGCAGGCGTAGTTAGTTCTATAGAAGAATGACGGGAGGGGGTTAGGGATTTGGGGAATTTAGGAGGCCTAATTGGGGTTCTTTATATTTTTCATATACAATTGCCTCTATTTATAATCAAGTAAGGGGGGCGGGAGACTTGAAGATATTGTGAGGCAGAGGCAGCCATCCCGGGGTGCATGGGGCAGGCCCTCTCCCCACTTATTCAAGTACCCTAAAAGTGTCCCTTTTCACATATGAAAAGTGCCCCTTTTACAAAGGAAAAGTGCCCCTTTTACTTTGACGTGTACCCCTAATTATTTTTAAAAGTGCCCCTTCCCCTTTTCACCTCTGATAAGTGTCCATTTTATTTTGACACGTGCCCATTTTTAAGTACAAAAATGCCCCTTTTCTCTTTTGATAAGTGCCTCCTTCACTGATAATTGCCCTATTCAAATATGAGAGCTGCCCCTTTTCCTTTGTAAGAAGTGCCCCTTCCCTTTTAATAACTACCCCCTTTTTAACTCGGATAAGCGGACCTTATGTTTTCAAATGTGTCCATTTTCCAGTCTAATAAGTGCCCTCTTAAAAAAAAAAAAACCTTGCCCTTTTTCATCTCTTAAGTATTTCATCTTATAAGTATTACCTTCACCTCTGATAATTTCCCCTTTTCACTGATCTGAGAGAAACTCGTTTTACTTTGACAAGTGTCCCTTCTCCTCCTGGTAAGTGCTCTTTTCATCTCTGACGTGTGTCCCTTCTCCTCCTGGTAAGTGCTCTTTTCATCTCTGATGTGTGTCCCTTTTTACCTCTATTAACTGCCCCTTTTATTTTGACACGTGCCCCTGTTCCTTTCTAGTAAATGCTCTTTTCCCTTGTTATAAGTGCCCCTTCCCCTCATAATTACCCTTTTCATCTTCAATAAGTGCCCCGTTTATTTTGACATGTGCCTCTTTCTCTTTTTAACAAGAGCCACTTCCCCCTTCTTATAAAAGACCACTTTAACCTCCGAAAAATGCCCCTATTAAAATCAGATCGGTGCCCCTTTTCTTTTAACTGATACACATTTTCCTTTATTGTAAGTTTCCTGTTATTGTAATTTCCCTGTTTTACGTGCCCCTTTTCTTTTCTATAAGGGTCCTATCCCCTTTTCATAAATGCCCCTTTTCACCTCTCTAAATGCCCCTATCAAAATCTGATGGTGCTCCTTTTCGTCGACAAATGCCCAATTTCCATTCTCCGTGCCCTTTTTTTGTTGGTGCCCCCCCCCCCCCCCCACCACTTTGGAACTCGCTCCTCTGCCCCTGTTGTGAGAGATTGGCTTGAGAGGTGTGTGTGTGAGAGAGAGAGAGAGAGAGAGAGAGAGAGAGAGAGAGAGAGAGAGAGAGAGAGAGAGAGAGAGAGAGAGCGATAGAGAGGGAGGGGCATGTAATAGATGGCGGGGAGGGCGCCGGGGGAGGGGGAGGGTAGGCCATGGAGCCAGTGGCGGAGAGTAGGTCGAGATGTTCAATGCCAAGTAGTACGTCGCATGGGAGGGGGGGGGGGCGGGGGGGGGGGGCACTTGATGTCACCGGAAATATAATGATAAGTTTTCACTTTCCTATTCTGTGTTTTTCCCCTTTCTTTTCCTCCTTTCGTTTCTCCTACCACTAGTACCAGGATTATGAAAGGATATTATATCCATGAAGCCTTTATTTAATTTAATAATATTTTGGAGATGACTTTCATTTTCCTCGCTTTTTGAAAAATGGGATGGAAGCTCAATTAGGAGGAAGCAAGACTGGGATCAGGATGATACATGATGCCAGTTATAAGTAGGGCGATAATTAAAAAGAAAACTTGGTCTTATCCCCCCCCCCCCCCATACTGTATCCTTGTAAAGACACATGGACTTTCATCCTTATATTATTTGTCAAAATGAAAGGTGTGCACTTATTAAGATTTCATGAAGTTTTTAGTAACATCATTTATCTCATGGATGCTTAATTCCAAACTTCATTGACGATGCTAATGATGCGATGAAAGTATCAGTGTGCCTAATGGTAGACCTAAACAGCTATTTATATGCCTATTGATGATGATAATTATAGCTACATTTATATTGTGAATCCACATAGGGGATGCTCAAGTTTTTAATGTGCTCCGCAATGTATAATTATAAACAATTCAGAAACTGACATAAAGGAAAAGGAGTGGAATTAAACAAAAGACAACTCGGACTGGTTCATTAAAAAAGAACTTGACAAATTAATGAATGAACGATTAAGAAAAATAAATCTTAATAAAATATGATAATTAGAAGAAAAACAAATTAACGCGAGTGACAGATAGAAGGTTTATAATTGTGCCGATTAGGATTAGGACCCACTCTCGGCCTAAATTTCACCCATCGGCCAGTGTAGTGCGGGTATACATGCGAAAATGCGCATTGTGACATAGCGCCCTCTTATACGACGGCGTACGTAGAAAAATTCACAAATTATACATCATAATTATCAGCATAATTTTGTGTATTCAAAATGATACTTGGAAGGCTCTTTACTTATGTTTGATTGTTAAATTACATTATTTATTTGGTTTAAGAAAGTTCCCCTATCACTACAAAAAGGCGTAAATTGTTGTTAATCACGTAGCATAGTTAAGGCTCCCCCCCCCCCCCCCCTCCGGCAGTTACTTTCTGGACATTGGATGGTATTAAGGCCTAATAATCTTTTAAAACTGAATATTGACCTCAGTGCAAACTGATAAGTTTTTAAGAATGTATTTCCTGGGCCATTTGAAGAAAACAAAATCGTAAGGAAAATGTGTACAGGCTGTCAGGAATCACAAGAATCATCGCCCTTAAACATTATGTAACTTGGCTTCATCATTATTTTGTTGTTGTTAATTGCTTGCCTTTTTGCTCAGGTTTGTTTGTAGGGAAGTTTCCTGTTATTCTCTTGACAAATTTGGTCCAATATCCCCAATAAAAATGGTACAAACTATATCCAAGTCAATCATTCCCAATATATTTCATCTCTTATGCCTTCCTATAATGGCCTACATATTTTGAAAGTTTTTTATAATTCTTAAACTCAGCCCAATTAAAATGGCATGCCCTTCGACATGCAGGCTCAGTGAGAAGATAAAACTTGTTATCAATAACAAAAAAAATTAGCAAAATTTATATTACATAATCTGCTCTCGGGCCGATCAAATGCCACTATTTCAGTAGCTTATAACAGTTATATAAAAACGTGTTATCAATAAAAACTTAGTTACACTAACACGTGTCATGAAACAGGGTCCCGAACGGGTCCCATTCGACGTAAAGCCCAATCTGAATTAAATAGTTCGGGGATGAAACAAAGGTTACCAAAATATTTTGGGAACCGTATCAAACAAGACTGAAATAATAGGCAATCGATAATCATTGTCTATCAGTAATTTGCATATGGGCTCAATAACGGCAGCTGATACGGCCAGTTTCGTCTAGACAAACTACAAAGCCCGTAAAAACAAAGTAAAAAAAAACAAACCTAAATATGAGTTGGACCATATTTTCTGTCCCTTTTAAAACTTCATGTTTCTACCAAACCGATGAAAGAAATATGAAAGAGGTCAACTAGAAAAAAGACTGCTTTTAAATTAATCTTTGCCGGAGTTTACGGACAGAGGCAACATAATGCCGACTGGATCACCTGGGGGGGGGGGGGGGGGGGACTCAGTTTTGGTTTGGACGTGGGGGGGGGGGGGGTGTCGCCTAGGCCTCGAAACTCCTAGCTATTTTATAAGGATAATTTTTTCTCGAAGTAAAGCCCATTTTCCACAATTTTCGGAAAAACGGAACCATGTTTAGGTATATTTAATATTTTTGTTAAACATGGGACCCATGTTTAGAGATTTGTTGGTGAAAAGTGACCCATTAGAGCGGCACATAGGCTCCCTTATGTCTTTATATGTGGGTACCCCCCCCCCTAAAAAACAAAAAAACAAAACCCCGGATTTGACCCCCGGACAAACTCCAAGTTTGTTTCGGGTTAGCATCTTCCGGTGTCTGATTTATTTAGACTACCCTGGAGGAGAATAGTCTTTAACAAGGAATAGTTTTTAAATTGCTAACGTGACAAACTCATTATTGTAAGAAGTCCATATAGTTTACAGAGAGAGAGAGAGAGAGAGAGAGAGAGAGAGAGAGAGAGCCCTTCCGGGGGCGCCATTTTTTTTCTGCGGCACAGATTGGGGCTCAAAAGAGGATTTAACCTTAACCCTAACCCTAAACTTTCCCATATGCTCAACACGTACCTAACCCCAATCTGTGGCACAGAAAAAAATAACGCGTGCGGAGGGGGGCGAGGGGGGGGGGGGGCTTTAATTACCAGGAGGGGAAAAGGCTCTCAAACATTATTGCAACCGCCACAGACACTGCTTACTGTCAAGTAATTAAAGCACATGCAAAATATGAATCTTCGATATCCGGGCCCAATCTTTGATAAATATTTGATAAAAACATGAATATAACACAACAAATCTCAGATTTAATTATTTGATAAAAAAAAAAAATGATCGATTTTAAATAGATAGGAGGTGAGGGCACTTTGAATGTTTTTCATTTCATTTACAATTCAATGAAATCTTAACCATGTTGGTCTATAATGGACTTACCAGTGGGCCCCATTTCACAAGCTTGTCATCAGTGGCAAATGAAAGTTTTTGTTATAAGCTACTGAAATCCTTGCTTCTGATTGGTCACTGATTTTTGTCATTTGTCATTGAAAAAAAGCTTTGTGAAATGGGTCTCTGGAAACTACTTTATCAGCTAATCAGACTGGTTGGAAGTAAACACCTTATACCTGAAGGCAAATAATTGGCGAACAATAAGGCATTACATTACCAAACTATAGGCATATATACCACACGCCTGTCCAAACAAACACTCACCCGATATCCGATTTAGAGATTATGTTCTCAAAATATATTATACAAAGTTAATTCATTTCAAAATTATCAATAAACCTATGTATTCCTATTCCTTGTACATTCGATGTTTGCCCTTGGCCACCATATACTACCAAATGTTCTTGAATATTAAAATGGAACTACAAGTACAATATCTGTAAACACTACTTTCACACCTTGCTAAAGATATCATAGTTTTGGTCCCTCAACGAGGTTAGAACAGAGTAAACAGGAAACGGCTGATATCGAGACTAGGCCAGAATACATGACATCACCGTCATGGCGGAGAACACACAGCTTGCCGAGGATCTAATCAATGCTAAACAAGGTATGATTTCACCCTTTGCTGACATTATTTACTAATGAAAACTGTTATAAGTTGTCAAACACTTTCTTGTGTACGTTGTTATTACATAATATTGTGGAAAATATGGTGGATATGCCGATATTTATGTTTTTTTTAAGACGGTTGGTTGTACGCTCTTCGCAACGAATGAATGAATATCGTTACTCCCCTGCTTGTGTGTTGTGTGTACGGCATGAAGAGTGGGTTTGGCTGGCGCTGGCGCGCCCAACATTGTGAAAATGATGGCGATGAATGGAGTTGGACTTTATTTAGGAATATAACATCAACCGGTTACAAATCTACACGAATTTGAAAGTAGTTTTAAATAAATAATATGGAGAATGGTAATGTTAATCAGAGGTGAACATTTTGTTCTCTTATTTAAACAGCTAGATTTGTATAATGAATTGCAAATGTGGTGTGTGCCTGGACTGGAGTGATGTGGATGTGAGTGCAAGGAGGAGATGGAGGACGTTGATGAAAATGATGTGATTTAGTTGTTAACTTGTTATGCATCATGTATGCTTGGCTTGGGTTGTCATGTGAAGTAATGAATGTAATATAATCATTTGATAAATATAATTTTCATTTGCTGTGATTTAAATAATCTGTAAATTAATTTACCATCCCCAAACTCAAAGATCCCTGATAAAAATTGTTCCCTTCTTTCATTGCCAGTATTTTTTAAAAATCCATCTTTGCTCCGAATTTTTTTTTTTTACCAAGTTTGCACAAGAGGGCATCTGTTCATTTTCTCTCTGTATTTTGCTTTCCCCTACCTTCCAAATCATGCTGGTACAAATGATAATCTATGTTTTTATGATTTATTATTTTCATCTATTAGATTAATTGACATGACAAGGGATAAAAATAGACAAACATCCTCATTGTAACTTAAATTGACAATGAATATTCAAAATCATCCAAAGTAATTTCAAGCAAACGTTAAAAAATCATCTCCTGTTACTCTTTAAGTCTTTTCAAAAACATTGTACATGTAGTGATGTACACCACTCTCTCTTTATTTTTTGTTCAAATCATAGTACAAACACAGAAGAAAAATAAATCACTTTGTATTTTGTTAGTTGTAGAATTGCAACTAACAAAATACAAAGTGATTTTTTGAAGAAGATTTACAACATTGTACATGTAGGTTGTTTAGATTGTATATTTTTAAAATGGTAGAACTTTTCTTGTATTTTTTTTTGTAGTGTACAATGTAATTTTACTCTCTAGTTGTACTAAAATCCTTAATTTTTTTGGTAAAGAACCTGACCTCATGTGTGAATACTGTACTTGTATACTGTAGTTGTTGACAGCGAGACTACACTGTAGTATATTTTTCAGTTTTATTGTGGTTGTGATATTTTGTTGATGTTTTAATCATGTAAAACATTTTCTTCAAGTATAGTGATATTTTAGTATATAATGGGACTTTTTCTTCTTCTGTACTTTGCCACTTCCTACAGTACGTACATGTAAATAGATTGAATACAGTTTCATTCTAAATGGCAACACTAATAGGGGAAAATGTTGTAATAAGTATGTATCACTTTCGTTTATCAGGAGAGGAAAAGGAATTAAAGTACTGATATAAAAGTGCACAATAAGATAATCTAATAGTATTTACATGAACATCCAGTTTCCTGAGTGAGCTGCAAAGTGGATTAACAAGCCAAGGCTTGGTGAGAGTGATCTTGCTAGTATTAGACGTAGCCAAAGCTTCCTTCCCCAAAATGGATCATTAGAAATGTGCAGCAAGTGCAGCATTAACATCTTCCTAAATAGAACAAGCTGTTTAATAGCTTACTGTACACAAGTACATAAGGCCAAATAAATAAAAAAACATGTTTAGCGTCCTGTTTTTTCGAAAAAATAGGAAGGAGGAGGCCCTTTTTATTTTTTGTTTCAAAATGGCCGCTCAAAATGGCCGCTCGGTACATTTTCACTGACAGTCGGGGCTATTTTTTTTCAAGATGGCCGCCGACAATTTTTAATTTATTTATTTTTTATCAGAAATAGAGCCATTTTAGCAGTGTTTTTCATGTTTTTTTTTCTTTAAATTTTTTTTTTTTAAATTAAAAAAAAAAAAAAAAATAAAAATAGGAGGTGGCCCCCAAAAAGGAAGCGGGCGGGGAAGCTAAACATGTATATTTTTTTAAATGGCCTAAGAAGCGATTAAGCTCAGGAGAATACTATACATGTAGGCCACCTGAGTATAGTGGCTATGCATTTTGTCTCCCTCCAGAAAGAAATGAATCTTGTATTTTGTAGAACCTTTCTAGGATGGCTGCCTGCCTATAGAGTCCACTTTTTTTCTCTTTCCCTTGGGTGACCTAAATACCCAGGTTTGACTGTCTTTATTTATCTTTTATGTTCTATAATATCTATGATTAGATTGTAGGTGAAAGTTTTTAATCATGTTAATGTTGGGATAATGATGACTGAAGTGTAGTGGATGGTATAGAAGACACTTTTACCTTGAACAAAATAACAAATTCTTCATACAGTCATGGAGGTCATTTCAGTATTAAAGTTGCAACGATCCAGTTTTCAAAAGGAACATGCACGTTTTTGTTATAGAAAAAGGGACTGATTTGCGAGTCTGCTAAATGTGCTTGTAAATCAGATTTTAATTCAAATTTATGTACACATTTACATATAAATTAAATCAAAATCAATACAGACAATGGAGTACCTGCATTACATGCAGAACAAAAATATTTTGCATTTTTTAAGGACAAGTGTGTTTTGAATCTTTATGTACTGAACTGCCATACATTTGGAAACACTGGAATTATGGTCAAGTAGATAGGCCTATAAAGCACACTGTGAAACATACTGTAGAGTGTATGTGACATTACATACTGTATATGCATGTGCTGCAGTTGCACACACATTCATATTGCATGTACTGTATGTACATGTATGTGTGTATATCATCAAGCAATCTCTCTGAGGAGATCTTCAAGTGCAGCATTACTCACAGGATCAAGTGAACATCAATTCATGAATGTTGACATTCTTCGGGCCGCGCCAGCGCGGAGAGAGAAAGTAGGGACAAACAAGAAAGTTTATCGTCCCTGCGCTTGAGTCATCCGCCTCTGTCCCCGATTGATTTCAACATGCGTTTCCTGTCTTGGCTGCTAGGCTAGGCATCGGGGGAGGGGGATCAGAGAGATCGCAAACTGGGATTTGTAAATGAGGCCCTTCGTGACACTTGCCGGGTCGATAGCCTGAATGCGCAGACTCTAATTAGACACTTCAATGCGATCCAATGAAGTATCGAGCCGAGCCTACATTTAATTCTCTCATTCGCTAGCTGTGGCCAGAGTAGCTACAGCACAGAGCCAATGGAGTGTAGTAGATGATGCAGTCTGCATAGTCTATCAAATCAGACACTCTCTTACGCACAACGACTGACAAGGGTCTGTGCTTCCAGACTACTTGCTGGTTGTGTTAGCCTCAGCCAAGAAGTTTATCCCCCATTTAGCAGCCACATATAAATGGCAGAACCCAGAGGAGAGTTTGCTAGGGGAAGTTGTGTATGGAGAGGATTGTGTGTTTATCCCATAAGTGTAATATGCTGTTGCCCCCAAATCCCTTATTGATCTAGATACTAAGCTTTATAGGATGGAAATAGGAACATGATTATCATATCACCTTGTTGATACATGTAGGACTTGCTATAACAGTGTACACATTAAACTGAATGATTCTGGCTTTGTGAAAGCATGAAATAGTGACTGATTTTTTTTTCACCACTCAATTTGTTTATGATGATCTTTAGATGATATACATTTATATAGATACCTGTATGAACATGCGCATTACATCATCTGGCCATGAATAAATGTGATTACTATTAATGATAATGAATGAATGGATGGTTGGGTAGATGGATGGATGGATTGACAGATGGATGAAATGAATATTAAATAAATGATTAAACAAGTAAAGAAATGAGTGAATACAAAAGTAGGTGAACTTAAACAATTTACAAAAGCAAAACAAAATTGAGTAAATCTTACATTTGTGTGAAATAAAACTAGAAAAGCTCATCTCCAACATATGAACAAATATGTCATTTTCAATCTTGATTTATTTCATAATGTATGCAATGTATACAATGTAGTAAATGGACATGCACTTGTATGGCCATGGGGCGAAAAACGATGCAGTATTCAATACCGGTACAGTACTGTATGTATGTACATGTACATGTACGGGTACATGTGTGGAATGTCTTCGACATCAGTATCGGATTTGAATGATGATGGATTGCATATATATATTCCTCTAAATTATGCACTCATTGCGATTAGATTTGGGATGGTTTAACTCTTGATTTTGGTCGGTTACCCCCGATTTTGGTCGTGCTCAATGCAGTGTGACATCCTGCAACTTCTGACGCATTGACCTGTTTAAACATCTCGGGTTATGGACCATAAATTTATCATTTACAATGGCTTGTATCCCCTGAAGCTATTTTTTTTATTGACACTAAAACTATTCTATTGAAAATAAATACTTTTGAGATACAGTGAGTTTTTCATTGTGCTGGATGTTGTTTATCAAACAAGACTTGTTGCTTTCAAAGTGTACAGTTGTAGAAAAAGAGAGAATGTTTGTGTTGAAGCATTTTTATCTATCTCCAAGTTTAGACTTGTTCAAATATTTTTCATATAAAATTCATATAGAACTACATGTATTTATTGCCATTTGTGTGTATGTATGTACAGTACATCTAGGCTGATATGAAAAGTTAAATATTTGGTGATTGCATTTTTACATTTGTTCAAGTACATGTACATGTACGTGTTCATTCATTCATTTTGTTTTCATTAATTTTGGTTTATTGAAAGAAAGAACATTCCTTGTAAAAACATTCCAAAGACAAACAAAGATGAAATACCTGTGGTTTCATTGCTCAAATCTGGATGTAAACGAATACAAAAAATGCACCAAACTGTCAAGAAATA